GGAGCAGGAGTCGAAACGAGCGGAAGCGCGGAAATGAGGCCAGCGCTGCAGCGGGAGCACGATTCGGAACGAGCAGAAGCACGGAAATGAGACCAGCGCTGCAGCGGGAGCACGATTCGGAACGAGCGGGGCCCGAAAATGAGGCCGGCGCCTCAGCGAGAGCAGCATTTTGAACAACATGCAGGCGAAAACCCAGCTCCGGGGAAACCTGTGTGTAAAAAACAATACGCGGGGGGGGGGTGTCGGACACTCCCAGGCCGTCATCAGGGGAAGAGGGAGAGTAGTATTCATATTGAGTCATTGTAAATGGAGGAGGAGGAGGAGGAGGAGGAGAAAGAGGAGGAGGAGGAGGAGGAGGAGGAGGAGGAGGAGGAGGAGGGAGGAGGAGGAGCAGGAGGAGGAGCGGGAGAAAGAGAAGGACGAGGAGGAGGAGGAGGAGGAGGAGGAGGAGGGCGAGTCGCCTAAGCCCTTCGGAGAAACCCTCCACAAGTCGGGGGAAGGCTGAAATGGGGCACAAACGACCCGTAGATCGGGGATCTTCTACTGACCCAGGTCAATCCAAACCCGGGTCAGTCAGGCCTTGCAGGATGGTGCAAGAACCTGAAGGATCCTGTAGGTTCCTGCGCCCAAGCCTGGGTCAATGCACCCGCGGCTCTGCAGGATCCTGCAAGGTCCGGCGCACTGACTCACCCCTGTTTGCATTGACCCCCGTCTCTTGAGCCCCGAATATAAGAAGGACGCCTCGGCCCAAGACGACGGGGCCGAGGCTCCGACGAGAGTCGACAATAGCGCCGCGGGCCCGACTGGCCTCGGGCTCTGACGGCCTTCAGCGCGCAAGCGGGGCTAAGCATTTGGGAGCCCATTCTTTCTCCATGGGGTTGCCTACAAGGTACAACCCGTACACTACAACCCGTACACTACACTACAAGGGCCTTGGAAGACCATGTCGACACGTTGCGAGCGGGGCGCGGCCAGCGACAGTGACCAAGGGTGGGTCGGAGGGGAAGGATGCAAGGGTATTCTTGGAAAGTCGCGCCTCCTGACTACGCGGGCTGACTGTGGGGGCAGAGGCGGGGTCAGAGGAGCATCTCTTTTGCGGCTGGACTGACCTGGCGCTCCTTGCCTCAGCCAGCCGTCAACGAATGACATGAAAGGGCGGGCACACGAAAAAGGTGCCTCGCACCCGCTCGCAGCCCAGTCCAGAAGCCACTCCCTGCGGGCGTCGCACTCCCACTGCAAGAGGGAGTGGCACGCCTCTCCAAGGGGGAGCTTCACGCTAGAAAGGGCGCCCGCATCGGCGCAGGAGCGAGCGGCGATTCTCGTGGAGTCGAGGGGGGATTTCAAGGAACATCGCTCCGATCGGCCCCTCGACGAAGGAGACGTGGGCATCTGGCTGAGTCCGCTCCCTGACCCCTCTTTGGGAGATCCCCCCTACACGAGCCCCCGAGCATGGGAGGGGCAACGCAGAGCCCCGACACGACCAAGCACCTTCGGGACCTCGCCCGTCCGCGCCGAGCGCCGGGGCGCGCCGCCGACGGCAGAACCGGTGGTCAACGGCGAGCAGGGTGCGCTTTTTCCTCGGAGACCCTAGGGCAAGACGTAACTCGGCGCCGGCTGGGGGTCTGAGGTGGCCAAGCACTGTTTCCGGCCAGCGGGCAGGGCGAGGAGAAGTTCGAGGTTTGGGGTTCGAGAAAGGCTTCCTGCCTCTTTCGGCCTCCAGGGGCCGTTCTCGGGCCCTGGGGTCGTCAAAACTGATCCGGACGGCAAACTGAACCAGATGGACCCCTGGGAGGGGTCTGGGGACCGATCCCGCCCCCTCTTGATCGGTTCCCGTGGGCCCCATCCAGCTCAGACCCCCCAGCCGCCTCCAAAACGTGGCGGCACCACCTCAAGCTGCAGGTGACGCAGCAGACGCGCGCGCTGTGGTGCGCGCCGCCAGCCCCCCCGTCCCAGATGTCGAGACAGGGCGGGGACGGCGACGACGACGACGGCGACGGCGGCGACGACAACGGCCACGACGACGGCTGCGATGACGACGACGACGGCGACGACGACGACGACGACGACAACGACGACGACGACGACGTTGACCTTGACGTCGGCCCTCCTGCGTCTGAGCGGGGGAAGCGGCCTCTCGAGGAGAGAGCAGGCAGGAGCTGCGGGCAGGGCGCGGCAGCTCGGCGGCGCGCGCGCGCGAGTTCGGGCGAGGCTGATCAAAGAGGAGGAGGAGGAGGAAGAGGAGGAGGATGAGGAGCAGATCTTGGAGGCCGCCAAGGACCTCCGCGGCCCCGTCCGACGAAACGTGACGTCGACCGGAGGTCGTCCAGATTTCGGCCGCCCATCCTCGCCCTCTCTCGTCCAAATGTTTGCCAACTTTCGTCCAAAAACTCGCCCGACTCCGACACGGAGCCCCCCCCAGCCGCCAAGGAACTCGTGGACCCACGGAGGCTCCTCCTCCTGCTCCTCCTCCTCCTCCTCCTCCTCCTCCTCCTCCTCCTGCTCCTCCTCCTCCTCCTCCTCCTTTTCTTCTTCTCCTTCCTCCTCCTCCTCCTCTTCCTCCTCCTTCCTCGTGGACCCACGGAGGCTCCCGTGAACGGCCACACTCTTCGATCCGCGGCCGCGAGGATTCAGGGAGCGTGCGGGCGTTGGCGGGATGCAACCGAGAAGCAAACGGAGGCACGGGGGACGTGGGGAGGCGCGCGCCGGGGGCGCGTGGGGAAAGGTGCCGCAGGAGAGCCCAGGAGGCACAACAAAATGAACAAACAAGAAAGCAAAAGCAAACAAAATCAATGAAAGGATAACCATCAACAAAAAACATTGACAAGTCACAACCAGAACGCTGTGCCCGATCTTCCTGCGTCGGTTGTTGATCCAGGTCGATCTGTGACGGTCCTGGGGACCGAAACCGTGCGAAACCGCCCGGGTCGAACAAAAAGGGGTCGCCAAAATCTCCATGTTAGGTCGGGCATGTCCTCCTACAATGCGGATTTGGGGCGAGAAGTTAACAATAGTCAAACAGTACTCAAACATAGTTTCAACAAACAATCGAGAAGCTGTCCCCATACTATGTATGTCCCCATTCCTCCTGTAGAGGGACATGCCCGACTTACTCTCCATGGAGCCACGCCCAGCTCATATGCAAATCTTCGTGGGCGCGCCGAGGTGCACGAGCAGGCAAGAGGTCGAAGTCCCGAGGTGCTGAGGTGCCGGCGACGACGGCGACGGCGACGACGACGGTGCCCAGTTCACGGGGTGGCACGAAGGACCCCACGAGCGAGGAGGGTGCCGCGAGGGGGGCGGCCGGGTCAGAGGCCGCGGGGGAGCTGCTCGGAAGCCCTCCGAGAAGCCTCCGAGCCCTTTTGCGGTAAGCAGTAGAAGTGCCCCTGAGCCTCTGAGAGGGGGCACGAGTCAGGGGGGCCAAAAACATTAGGGACAGGGGGTCTGTCCTGAAGATGTTTCACGCCGAACCAACAAGATTGACTATCCCTGACTGACTGAAGCAACGCCTTCATTGTGTTACTCGGCTGAGGGTTGTTTGTTCTCCATGACTCTGCGGAACACTCAGCCGCCTCGGCTGGCCGCTCCCACTCACGCCACTCTGGCTACGGCAGGTTCGTGTCGCGCCGACTTGGGCGTTGGTTCCTCGGGATCGTTCAGCCTTGAATGGCCGGCCGTTTTCGAATCGTCAGATCGTTCAATACCAACCGATTCTGGGTCGCCAGCGGCGTTCAACTTTGAACGCCAGCGGCGGGGTCGCCGCCAGTCGACACGACGCGAACCTGCCGTATGTTGCCTCCTCGGGGGACCTTGTCTGCATCGACGCCTCTCTCTCTCTCTCTCTCTCCGCATGCAAACCGCGTCGGATCCATGTCGAACTCCTCGCATCCGCGTCGAGTCCACGCCAACTCTGCGTCGAGTTCGTGCCGAGCCCGCGTCGGGCACGAGAGAAGACCCCGACATTGAGGACAGACGATAGAGGACTTCTGAATGGGGTCGGAGTAGATGGAGTCGGAGGATCGCGCCCGATCGGCAATACATCGGCGATACATCTCCGATGCATCGGCGATGCATCGGCGCCGTCCGCGTGGAGAAAAACGGGATACACATCGAGCTGCATCGGCGGTGCATCGGCGATGCGGCGCGATCCTCCGACCCCATCAACTCCGACCCCATCTTGGAGGCCCAGTGGACAAACGAGGGTCCCCCGAAGATGCAACGTAAGCCTGGGCCCTGGGCCAGCATCCGCTCAGAGTGGGTCCCCAGACTTCTTCCAGGGCCCAACCTGGCCAGCCCTTCGAGCTGCGCGCAGCTGTGGCCACAGAAGGGCGCCCCTCCGGGAGCTCCCGGGACTCACGGACTCGACACGCCAGACAACATGCATCTCCCATCCTCGCCCCCCCCTCCTATGAACAGAGGGGTCCCCGAGATCGCAACGCTGCGACAGAGTCGCAACACGGCGGAAAATCGCGAACCATAGCCCCAGGCACAATCTGTCTGTGAAATTTTCCGAGGCGCATCGATCTGTGAGGGCTCCCAGGCCCGAAACTGGCCGAAAAAGACCGGTGTGAAATAATTGCAACATCCAGATCTCAAAGGCCCCCTGGTCCCCATCCGCCACCCACCAGAGAAGAAGAAACCACCACCAGCAGCCAGGGGGTCTGGCCGTTCCCCCCTGAGCTGGTGGCACCCCACTCTGGGCGCGCCCCCCGAGAGCGTTCAGAACGGAGTGCCACCAGCTCGGGGGGGTGGGCTTTGGGAAGGGATGGATGGAGTTCCAGTGGTGGTGGCTCCTTCTGCTATCGTTATGTCGGGCATCTGGCGGATTTTGGGCGAAAAATTAAAAATATGCAACACATTTTCAGAAAGACTCGAAAAAAAAATGAAAAATCTGTCCCCAGACTATTGTTTGACTATGTTGCGTATTCGAGGGACAGGCCCGACTCATTGCTATCGTGAGCTGAGCCCCTTCTGCCCGCCGCGTCGGCAGCGAGGCAGGAGGCCGCGGCGCCTGCTGGCTGGGCACTGGCGCTGCCTCTGGCGGTCATGGGGGGCGCCCGGCCGCCGCCTGCGCCGCGGGCGGTGCGGGAGCCCGCGGCGACGCAGGGGCGATGTGAACATCACACACAGTGGAGGCCAGTCCACAAGAAACCTTCCACAGGAAACCCAACCCTGAGACCCCAGGGCGTCCACTGATTTCTGGTGTGAGAACGTCGCGCTTTTCATCGCAGAACCATCGAAACCCACGAAACTCAGGGCACCCTGGAGGCAAACAGGGTGCTTCTTGGCATGGGTCTCCACTGCAAAACGTCTCAGGTTCACATGACTCGCTGTCACAAGAACGTCGATGTGGAACAGCACACGCTTCTTATGACTATTGGGGGAGGCCGTCGGGTCAGGACAGCCCCGAGGGAAAGAGTCTCGCAAGACTACGCGCGGCCGCCGTGCGGGGGGAGCGAGGTTACGTCAGGACAGACAGCCCCGCGAGGGGGGGTCTGACAAGGCTGCGCGCGGCCTCCGAGCGGTCGCGACCGTGGGGACCAGATAACCGACCGTCCAGTCGGACGCAACGTGCGGACGAGGACGAGGAAGCCGAAGAGGCAGGACTGTAGGGAGGGAACGGCCCGATCGGGCACTATCGCCATCCCAGCCGCACCGGACGCCGCCACAGCCGCAGGGAGGGCGAGGATGAGCTGGCTGGGCCGAGGGTGAGGGCTAGGACCTGAGAGGGGTCCGGAGGAGGTGGGACGGGGCGCGGATGGGAACGGTCTGTGCCCGTGCAATACCAAGGCCGCCTAGCGGCCTCCGAAGGCCCAAGACCAACGGATGACAAGCCGATGTGGGGCGAGAAGGGAGTATGAGGAGGAGGAGGGGGAGGAGGAAGAGGAGAGGAAGCAAGTGTATAACACCGAACACTGTAGAGACATGAGTACATCTTGTTCAGGGACATTCGCCACCGCGCTTGCAGCTGCGCGTGTCCGCGTGTCTCGTCTACTCATTGGAAGTGGTTGCGGGACCAGAATCCCACCAGCCCTTTGGGCGTAGGTGGTCTAGAGCGTTTCCTCTCTTACCTCTCCTACTTCCCCTTCGGGGAGGGGTTTATCAATGTTCCCTATTAGTATACACCCCCTCCCCCAGGCGACTGGGAGCCAACCAGGGTCAATGCGGGCACCCCCCCACCATCCCTTGTAAAAACCATACAACATACACTCTGCCTCCAAATTCGGGGCATGCGCAGCGAACCCGATGCGGCCTCCCCCAACCATCCCTATCAAAAAAACGATACCGAGTGCACTTGGCGGCTTGGCGGCGGCGGCGGCTGCAGCGGCTGCGGCGGGGGCAGCGGCTGCGGCGGCTGCGGCGGTGGCGGCGGCGGTGGCGGCGGCGGCGGCGGCGGTGGCGGCGGCGGCGGCGGCGGTGACGGCGGCGGCGGCAGCGGTGGCGGCAGCGGCTGCGGCGGCAGCGGCTGCGGCGGCGGCGATTCGGCAACTGTTGCGACGGCGGCGGCGGCTGCGGCGGCGGCGGCCAGCGCGGCGGCGGCGGCGGCGGCGGCGGCGCGGCGGGCGGCGCGGCGCGGCGGCGGCGGCGGCGGACAGCGGCGGCGGCGGCGGCGGCGGCGCGGCGGCGGCGGCGGGCGGCGGCGGCGGCGGAGGTGGCGACGGCGGCGGATTCGCCCCTAGTAGCTGCCCATCCAAAAATGCCTGCTGAATATGCTGCGGCTCGGGCCAGGCCCGGGTGCTACGAATGTGTTGGGAGGGCGGGTGGGAGTGAGCGAGACGGCTTGCGGGCGGGGAGGGAATCTTGACCCCTCCCCCCACCCCGTCCCCTGGACCTGGACGGGGGGTTCCCCGACGCGTTGGAGCGTCCAAAACAGCCTCGGCGAGGAAACCAAAATCCCCCTCCTGCGATCGATCTCCTTCAAGATGGCCCCAAGAGGTGCCCAGGAGGCCCAAGGCCCCGAGATGGTCCCAAGATGGCCCCATGATGGCCCCATGTGGCCCCAAGAGGCCCCCAAGAGGCCCCCAGGATGCCCCCAAGAGGTTCCCAAGAGACCCCCACGAGGCCCCAAGAGACCTCCCAGAGGCACCCAAGACGCTCCAAGAGGCCTCGGCGAGAATGCCAAACTCACTGATGTTATTAAGGTGTTGGCCACATTTGGGCCTCCTGTGGGGGCACTGCTTCAGATGATTCCAAAAACGCCTGGGAGAGCCCAAGATGACCTCCAAGAGGGCTCAAGATATCCCAAGATGCCTCAAGATGACTCCCACGATGCTCCAAGAGGCCCCGCGACAGCTTCAGGACGGCTCCAAGTGACCACAGAGCTCCCCCAGGAGGCCCCGAAGAGGCCAACATCCTTCCAAAACCTGGGAAAACTCAGTATTTTGGGTTTTCTCGCCGTTTCGCTTCCGATGGCCATCCGAGGCTTCAAGATGACTCCAAGATGGCCCAAAAGGGCTCCAATAGCGCTCCCAAGGCTCCCGAAAGCGCATCAAGAGGGACCCAAGAGGCGCCCAGGAGGCCCCAACAGACGCCCCAGAGGCCTCCGAGAGGCCTTCCAAGAGACCCCCAAGAGGCCCCAAGAAGCTCTCCGAGGCACCCAAGACGCGCCAAGAGGCGTCCGGGACCACCAAGAAACCCCCAAGACGCTCCAAGAGGCCTCCACTGGGGGACCCTTCCTCTGTGTGCTGCCCACTTCCCTGATCGAGGCACTTCCTCTGGCTGGTGGGGTTACTTTTTGGTTCGCGGCTCCAAGGCGAAGGACAGGGAACGAGCACAACGTCCGGGGCGCATGACGATGTAAATTGGCCTCAGAGGCGAGTGAACGTGCCAGGGACAAAGGGACCCTCATTAAGACGCATACTGCGTCGGCAGGAGACAGGCCCAGACATCCCGGCTGGTCGGGACGCAGGCGCGGCGACCGGCGGCGGAACGGGGGGGAAAAGTCGCCCTTTCGGCGCCAAACTCCAGCCGAACCGCACTCGGTGAGGCCAGGAGGCGGGGGGGGGAAAGAACGGAAGGGGGGAGGGGGAGAGAGCGAAAGCGAGCGACCACCACAGGCTCACTGCAGGACCACGAGCCAACAATGGTGCGGCGAACGAGGCCTGATTCATCAAGGCTCACTGAATCTGAGGTGTAGCTGATCCGCGTCGAAGCGCCATGCAGTAGAGGAAGACCACTGATGTGCGCTCACGAGGCTGAGCCACCTCCAGCTGGGGGGGCTACTTTGTTAAATTGGCGGCTCACAAGGACAGATCCAAAAAGCGGGACGGACTCGGCTGGGGCACAGAGGGAGATAATTAGCTGCAGAGGCGCATAGGCCACTGAAGCGCGTGCACATGCCAGGGACAAAATGATCCTCATTGGGGGCTGACGCTGGCGGTCCGACACCGGGGAACGCAAGCACATAACTGGGAGCGGACGGAAAGGAGCTGTCGCACACGTGGCGCCAAGCTCCGACCGTACCGCACAGTGCGCAAGGGCGTGGGGCACGCCGCACTGTGGCGGCACGGGGTGGCCAGGCGTGGCCGCACCGTCCATGCAACAGGTGAAGCAAAGGAACAGGAGAGACACGGCGGGCGCAAGGGCACGCGGCAGTAGGAAAAGGGGAGGGCACAGATGGAAGCCTCACTCACAGTGACTCATAGGACGCTCTTGGGCATGAGAGCGACCAGTACCCAGTCAAGGAACAGTCGAACGTGTCGTCTGAGTCCACAGCCTGCAACTTGTCCGACACTGAGGATCGGGGGCGTGAAGCTGCAAGCGCTGGTCGAGTCACCTGGTCCAGCCTGCAGGGAGGACCGTGATGATCTGCCAAAGGATGAACCACTTGTGCAGGAACTTGAACGGGAAAGCGACGACCACAGACAGGGACCCTGTCGTCGACGTCGCCGGCGTTCACCGCGAGCAACTTATCCGACACAGAGGGTCAGGGGCACAAAGTCGCAAGCGTAAACCGGGACACGAATGACGGACCTGCCGGGGGATCCGCGGTGACCTGCCAAAGGATGAACCACGTGTGCAGGACCACGCCCAAACCAGGCCCGACATCGGGAGGTACCAGGAGCGGTGAGGTGCGCCGGTCTGCACCTTGCCGAAGCCCAGCACCTGGATCGTCCCGAACCGTACCATGCGGGCCGGGCCCGCGGGTATGGGAGGCCCGCTGGCCGCGGTGGTGCCATGGGGGGAAACCACTCCCACGAGTCCTCATGACAGCGTACGCAGCGGCGACCACCCGAGGCACCACGTCGTGTCGACCAGGGAGTCTGGGGGAAATCACATTGTGCCATGGTGTCCCTTCACAACGCTGGGGGCGCAGCCAAGAGCCGCAGGGACTTGTGAATGAACGCGGGGGGGGGTGCACCCAAGGGCCGCTGGCAAGACAGCCATGTCCGTGGCCTCCTCACCAGGATGTGTCACGGCACTGGCACGTCCTCAACCACAGCCCACTTCGCTGAGGGCCGTGGTGACCCGTTGAGGTGGATGAACCTGTCAGCTCTCCAGCCATGATGTCCATTGTCCATACACAACGCTGGGGGCGCAGCCAAGAGCCGCAGATACTTGTGAATGAACGTGGGGGTGCAACCAAGTCGCTGGCACGACGCCATGCCGAGGGACTCCCCGCTTGGCCCGTGCCACGGCGCTGTCAGGTCCTCAACCTAAGCACACTTCGCTGAGGGCCATGGGGACCTGAAGGGGTGGCTGGAACTGTTAGCTCCCCTGTCGTGATGTTCCTTCGAAACGCTGGGGGCGCAGCCAAGAGCCGCACAGACTGGTGAATGAAGGTGAGGGGTGCCACCACGTGCCGTGGCACGACAGCCGTGCCCAGGGCCTCCACTCTTGGGCTCGACCAAAGCACCGTCCCGTTCCCAGCCAGGGCACACTTCGTTGGCGCCCTGGACCTCCACTCCACAGGCCTCTGCTTTCCTGGATGTTGCTCACACGTCCTAGTCAATCAAACAAACCACGCGCAGTGAATGCTGCTGAGCGAGTCGCAGCGGCGGCCCCGGCGACACGCAAGGGGGGCGAACGGGCAGCGTGTCGCCTAGCACCGGGGGGCGGGAGGCCAGG